GTCTCTTTCAGAACCACCGCCAGCCCTCCTCGTGCAGGAAACAGGAGGGGGGCGAGGGCGGGGGCAGAGCACACGTGGCCCATCCGGGGCTGTGCACACGTCAGGAATCCCCACCGGGTCCCCACCCACTGACTCCACAGACAGGAGGTGGGCACCTGCCACGCGCCAGGCCCTGGGACCAGCGGGCGGCCTGTGACCTGGTCCGTGAAGCCTCCCAGTCCCACCTTGTGTCCCCTGGCGCCTGGCCTCCCTCAGCTGTGACCCCCATCTGCCCACTGAGGGAACCTTCACAGTGGGCTCCTGCTTCAGGGCAGGGTCTGCCCCACGCTCATCTCTGTCCCCGTCCCCAGCCTGGGCGGCAGGACACAGGAGAGGCCATGACGGCGGGGGGTGAAGGCAGAGGAAGAGGAAAGAGGAAAGAGGAGGGAGGAGGGAGGAAAGAGGAGGGAGGAAAGAGGAGGGAGGAGGGAGGAGGGAGATGAGAGAAAGGGGAGGAAGGAGAGAGGAAAGACAGGGCATCGGGCGTGGAGCCCCCACTCCAGGCAGGAAGATGGGACTTTGTCCCGAAGGCCCGGGGAGCCACGGCGGCTCTGATGAGGCAGCTTTTCCTGGAATGACGGCTGTAGAGAGAGGGCCTGTCCGCACGCCTGCCTCGTCCCCCCGGCTGCCAGAGCCCCAGGAAAAAGGAAAAAGAAAAAAAGAAAAAGGCCGTGGTGCCGAGTTCAACCGCGTGCATCTTCCAGCCCTCGTCCTGGCATTTCTGCTTCGGGTCTCAGACTCGCTGGGATTCCTCGGCGTGTCTGTGCCTCTGAAGATATAATTAAGCCTTTTTTTCCCTTTGAAAAATGCAGGCCCCTCGGGCACTTCACCTCCTTGTCTGTCTCTGCTGGGAAAATTGCAGCTGATGCGCGGGGGACCCGGAGCCTGCACAGGAGTCCCGGGTCCAGTGGGGGACGTCGTCGCCTCTGGGTCCATGGCCTGGGTCCTGGGCCCAGAAGCCACCCCCACGCTCCTGCCACCGGGGCCGCACGTGGCCGTCCGTCAGGTGCTGAGATCAGCCCCGGGCCCT